AATTGGCCTGAACTCTTTTACTAACTTAGGCTTGGAGGTCTTGGGCACTAGAGTGATGGCTGTAGAGTTGATAGCTTTGTATATGCTCCCTGTGGCAAAAAAATCTGTAACAGCTTCAGTAACTTCATTTTTGATGATACTCCATGTTTTTTTTGAAAAAATATGCATTAAATCCATCAACACCAGAGGCTTTGTCATCACCAATAGAGCATAAGCCCTGATAGATTTCTTGCTCACTGACATCCCTACACAATAAGATTCTCTGTTGTTGTGACAGAGTGGGACCTTTTGCCATTATCTTCTTGTCAATTGTTGGTAGTCTATGAGCAGTTGTTCCCATTAATCCCTTGTAGAAGCTTACAATTTCCTCTTTGATGCCTACAGGATCAGTGAGTTTATCTCCTGTCAGAGAAGTCAGTTCAACTATTTGATTTTTATGTTGTCTTTCCTTGATCACTGCTGTGAAATACTTGGAATTAGAATCACCTAGTTTGATCCATTTTGCTCTGGCCTTCTGCTTTAAAGCACCTTCCTCCGGTAGATCCCATTTCTCCAGGTTTTGCATAAGGCTCCTCTCCTCTATTAGAAGATCATCTATGCACTGTGTACATATTCTTTCTTGTACATTAATAAGGTCTACTCTGTCTCTTTCAATCTTCTGCTTGATATACTTGAACTCTTGAACATTCACCTTTCTGAGTAGAGGTCCAAGAGCTTTCAATTTGAGCCAGATGTTGTTCATTTTCCTGTAGCTCAATGTTTGCTTCCCATGTTGTTGCACAATGTTCAGGAATTCTTCATGCTCTGCCCACACATTGAAAAACTTAAAAGGAGCTTTCCCACTTCTCTGTTGTAGAGCTAGCTTTAGAGTCATGGTAGAATGATCAGAGATGCAAGGCATGCCATACACAGTATTGATATGTCCCATGTCATCATCCATTCATAGTTTCCAAAAATTCTATCTATTCTACTCCATATCCTATCTGAACCAGGTTGCCTATTAGACCATGTGTAGTATTCCCATTCCCATGTTAACTCAGTTAGCCCCAGTGTTTGTATACAATTGGCATAGTCCCTAATCTCTGCTAACTATACATCCATGTAGTCTATCTTGTGTGTGCAGCATTGAGTTAAAATCACCATCAATCAGCCATGGTTTAGTGATTCCTTGTGCAAACTCTTTCAGGTTATCCTAGCAAAGTTAATAAATTTAATAACGTGATTATTTACTTTTCTAAAATAACTTTTATGTAATTCCACAGTTCAATTCTATTCAAATCTTTTAATTTGCAACACCTTAAAC